ACTTGACCTTGTCCTTTGGTATCTCTGCAGTGTCTGAGAGCATATCCACTCGATCCGTCAATGAGCTCTCTACTTTGGATGGGGAATTCTGGGAACCTGGTTGTTCAACTCTCAGCATATGTCAGAAGCTCCAAAAAGAATTTACCAAGAAAATTGAGGCAAGACCCTTCCTCTCCAGTGTCAGTTGTGTGGGGGTACATGTGTGTGTGGGGGTAGCTTGGCTTCCACCACAGAGTCAGAGCTTCATGTCCCTGTAAGCCAAGTGCACAGAATGCCAGGGCATGACAGAATTCACATTTCCTTTTAAGGCTCTGTACTAAACAGATTACAGGTTTTTCCCTAAGGTGAAAATAATCTGAATGTAATGTTAAAACACCCTCACAGAACCGCTCCCGGAAAATGGATTATTTTAATAAGCAAACATTAAAAGTTGCCCATCAGCATTTGACAACAATGAGTCACCAGCTCCATGAATGCAGGTCAGTAATGACAGATGTACTTTAAAACATTCTTCAAATGCAAGGAATGCCTTCTAAAAGTAACCTGTGTTTTTTTGGTAGGACCAGGCAGCTGGACAAATTTCATATAACTCTCATTGAGGAACTTGAGAATTTTGAAAAGGATTCTCAATCCCTGAAAAACATGGAAAAAGAATTCTTGGTTTGTATTTGAACTGGTGGCTCATGGGGAAAAATGAATTCCTATGGGATCCATAGATTGTTCATGTCATGTTCAAGTTCTTAACTTTAGATCATTACATTTGATTTCAAAAGCCTTTATCATTTTGCTTCAAGCTGAAATATTTGAGTGTTGGGATTGGCCAAAGATCTTAGAATTCCTTGGTTACTACATGTTTTTCCTACATATATTCACTCTATGAATTCCTATGATTTTCCTCCTAGAATAAACTAGTACTAATACTTTAATGGGCTGTTTCCCCAGCTTCTGTGGGGACTGTGTAAATCCTGTGTAACTCTGCTGAGTCTGTGGGTGGGGGTTATTTTGTTAATCTGAAATATTGCTCAGTTTTGGTTTGGAAAATCAGTTCCTATTGATCAGCAGCTGTTCATATTTTTTTCATTCCAGACCTTTTGGAAAAAACAGACAAGTACTTTGAGTACTTACATGAAAAATGAGCAACAGAGGTCAGTGGGCTCTGGCAGTGCTGGGGTGAGGTTTGTGGGCTGCTCTTTTCAGGTATAAGTCAGGCCAACTGATATTCCTTATGCAGTTTCTTCCATTAATAGAGATGGTAGATGAGATGAGAAAATTGGATTAAAATCTTACATTACAGGAAAAATGTAATGATTCTCCATCTAAATTCCTCCACCTACCTGAGGGACTGTTCCAGCAACGATTGAGACATTTATCCACACTTTAAAGTACAAATAGACTACAAATAATGGGACCTATTCGTGGTCTGTGTGGGAAGTTCATACATAGCAAAGCTGTTTGAACTGCCTTTTGTTTCTTTAGAATTCAGGTTCTTAAAGCTTCATTTGAAAAGAATATCTACCATTCTGTTGACTATGAGGAACGTGTTTTTACTTCAGAGGTATGAGGAACTTTAGTTTTGTATGAGGAACTTGTGTTTCGCTCTTGTTTTAATAATTCTTCCATTGCACCAACAGATACCAGTACTGACTTTCTTTTCTGAAGAAAGACTTTATCCTTAGCACTGTATTGATGATATCTTTGTTTAGTTTTTAGTTTTCATAAAATGCCCTTAATTTAACAATGTTCACTATTTTAGGCTGAGATTTCACCCACCACAAGGTGTGTGCAGTTATCAAGATTTATTCTGGATTCTGTGGCTTTGTTTATTTTGTTTCTGAATATTTATGTTATTCATCCCAGAAAGAACAAATTTAAAACACATGTTCCCTTCCACAGGCAAGTGGATGCCTGTGCATCTCTATCTCTTGGTTATAAAACATTTGGGGATGTAATTGTTTGCTTGAAAACATGTCACTAGTTGTGAGCAGAGGAGATGCATTCACGATCTTTTCTTGCAGATGCACCTGATGAAAGAAGACATTAAAGGACTCCAAGAGAAACTTCTAAAAGAAATGGTAAATGAAGTCATCTTGCACTCATTTTTACTTATTTTATACTGTTTGAACACTAAATTACTAACATTTTAAATCCCAGGATCACTGACATGTTGCACTTTAGACTTTACCTGGGTGACCGAAGCCACGGGTAGATGTGAATGTACTGCTTTGGTTCTGACTCTTAATATGTGCAAAAGTATCCTATTTGATATGTTAAAAGCAGCATATTCTGTGCACCAGGGGTGCAATATGTTAAATAAACCCTTCCTTTTTGCAAAAGCATGTTGTAAGTGTGATGTTTTTTGCACAGCAAGAAGAGGAGCTGTGCAGTGTTCGCAGAGGATTGCAGACCCTGTTTCGATCAAAGACTGAATTCTGAAGGGATGTTTCTCAGATTCCTTCCTGAACTTCAAGGTGAATAGAAACACTCTTTTATAATGGAATGAAGCCATCTTTCATTAATAATATTAAAATCTTTGTGGATAAAACTTCTCCACTTACCTGTGAGATTTGGGATTATTTTACTGAATCTGCTGAAATATAATGTGTAATTTCATTTTAGCACGTGCTACTTTTAAATATGTCTTGAACAATTTGTATAGGTTATTTAAATGATTGCCAGAGAAATCCCATTGAATTTCACTTTGAATCTTTGTTTTGGGCCTGTATGTACAGAAGACCCACTTTGTTTGATCCAGAATGGACTCAGAAATTATTTAGGGATCGAGTCACCTGGTTTGATCTCAGTCTTGTTTGTAGTATTAGACTTCAGCAGGAGTTTCTAAGAGAAAACAACACTCCAAACACTTCTGTTTGAACTATGTTGCAAATAATTGTATTAAACAAGTCCAGAAAAATATATATTGTCTGTCTTTTTTTTTTTCCCCACAATGAAGTGATTGTATTGAAATTTCCAGTAAATAATTGGGTCCACTCATCCCACCTGTGTAAGTGTACTGATGCTTTTCTCATCTTCCTGAGCCTCTGGTTTTGTGTGGTTTGGGGTTTTTTTTGGCCTGTATTCAGTGTGTTCTCCACTAGATGGACCTCCTGAGTTGGTAAACTTTTCTTTCCACCGGTCTAATTGAATTTCATCTGCATGAAACAGGAGTTTTCTCTGAATTGTACAAGGATTTTAAAAGTGCACTGGAAGGTCCAAATTATTTCTTCCAATGAGGGCACGTTGGAAAAATAAGACAACTGCCTTGGTTTTAGTTAGGGACAGGAACTGGGCATTGCAGGCCTGGTTGCTTTTTCCGCTGGGAAGAAGCTGCACCAGGAGAGCCTCCCTGAGCCACACCTGCCTTCCCTGGTGCCATCCTTGTTCCCAAACCCAATCCCTGGCCCAGGGAGTGCAGGCAGTGTCCAAACACCCCCCAAGACTTACCAGCAGCAAGCAGAGTGTCACCAGGGGATCAGGGGCATCCCTGTGGCTCTGCAGTGGTCACAACTTGTGTCCCCACAGGAGCAGAGCAGAGGCTGGGCTGGCTGTGCTGGAAGGACACAGAGCAGGGGAAGGAGCCAAGCTGTCCCTGCACAGCTCCAACATCAAGGACTTGCATCCATGACAAAGCTCACAGGCACTGTTTGGCATTTAAACAGCTGCTCTAAGTTATCCTTCAAACATTTGTCTCTTTCTTTATTTTCCAACCTCATTTTAATGTGTTCTATGCAGCGTTTATTAGCAATGGAAGTATGGAGTGTTACTTTCATGGACTATAAGCCAAGTTTAGTTTGTGGCTCATCTGCTCTTCTCACACTAAAAATGCTTCTGCTGAAGAAACTTTTCTCTCCTTTCTGTTCAGCCTTTTTGTAAATTGCATCTGGACTGTCATTATATTGTTGTTAAGAATTATTATTATTGTATTAATAATCAAATTAAAATGATGGATAAATATAGTAGTAAGTTAAAAGTTATAATGATGCACATTTCTGTGAAAAGCCAGCAAGTTAAACAATTGCAATAAAGAGATAAAAAATACATCTTTGGATCAAGTGGTTGGGTCATTCAAGTCTTCAAGTGACAAAGAGGTCAAACATGAAGCTGTAGGACAAAGTGACAGCCAGCCAGTCTCACTGACCCATCCTGGACAGCTCCTCTGCCAGGAATCCTCCGTTCCCTCCTTGCCTCAGTGACACACATATAAGTGCTGCAGTGCTCTTACCTCCCATTCTCCAGGAGAACCTGGGGGTGTGATTCCATCCCCACAGACCTGACTCTGTGTGCTGACTGTTCCCCACCTGCAGCTACTCAGTCGTAGTCTGGAGCACCCCTTTGAAATACTGGATTTTATTGTTTTCACACTCCATGGAGATCAGCTCAGTGAAGCTACAAGGCCAAGAATGCCTTTCTCAAGGTTTTTTAACATTGAGTGATTCCCTAAAGTTATAGCACTGAAGAGCCTTGCAGAGAAATGTTTGGGAGTGTATTCACCATTTGTTCTTGTCTCAGGTGTGTTTTCCAGCTGCCTGGGTTTGATTTTTTTCCCCAAGTATTTTTTTAGTAGTAATTTGAGTAAATTCTCAAATACTCCTCCATGTCAGGCATTATTAGAATGTCTGGCTTTACATTTTTCTCCACCAGTTCTATTTGCTTCGTTATTAGCACTTAGTAGCTTTTTTCTTCTTACTGTCAAGAAAGCATTAAAATCATTTGTTTGCCAAACATCAAAGTACATTGTTACATTTCTACCTGTGCTTGTCCACTTTAGTCATTCTGAGTGAGGATAGCACTGAACTTCATTGTCATCCTTTAGAGGGTCAGAGCCTCAAGTAGTGGAGGATGACAATCAGGTTCTGCTATTCCATGAGATGGAAAAACCTTAGTTGGGATCACCCTTTTGCAGACTCCACGCTGATGAAGAAGGGCAATGATCTGGTGCAGAATAATTAGAATCTGTTCCCTTCCCAACACTCTCTGGGAAAAAAAGAGCTTTAGGAAACGTGTTCATTTCCTGCAATAAGTAGTCATTTAATTAAAGAACAAAAGTAACAGGAATCAAAAATGCTTGCAGCTGTGATTCTGTTAGACATTATATAAAAAAGAATGAAATTATAATACATTAAATTAGTTTTTAGAACATGAACTTAAGTGTTTTACAAACTAATTGTGGTAAGTTCAAAATGTCTCGTCAACATAATACTGGATGACAGCGTGTCACGTCCGTTTATGTCAGAGGCCTTGGAATGGTAAAGCCTGTACATGCACAACATCTCCTCCTCCGAGACAGGCTGCAAAACAGTTCCAACCAAGTGTGGAAGGAGAGTAGGAGGCTCTTCCAAGTAGCTTTGCTTCAGTCTTTGCCAGCAGCTCGTCCCAATCCCAGGCCGTGGCTCTCCTGCCTGCAGAGCGAGGGGCAGCCCTGGGCTCTGTGTCCGTAAGTGCTGCAGAGACCTCAGCTCAGAGTCCTTCCTGCACACAAACACCGAGGGATCCTGCTCTGAACTCGAGGGAAAGGCTCAGATATTCCCTGATGGGTGTTCAGCAGCAATATCAAAAAGTAAAGACAGATTCTTCTCAGAAGAAAATTTCTATGGCCTGTGAAATCTGGGAGAGATGAGAGACATTCGTCAAACCACTTGGGAATAGAGAACAAAAAATAGTTCCATTCTCTGTTAGATTAACAACCTTTTAAAAAGCCCACAAAACTATTCATTCTGTTTAAAGGTACAGTAACAGTACTGAAGAATATTAGCACCTCTAATAAGTCTTCATTTTCACCAGGACTGGAGTGCAGGGATGGTCTCAGGGCCCAGTTTAACTAGTTCACAGCACTAATTGTAAACTGTTAGCCTGTTTATTCCTAATATCCTGAACAAATTTCCATATCTAACATTATCCTCTACCTAAACTCCCCAGGTAGCTTCAGTTAGAGAAGGTAGGTGTCACTCTCAGGCTGACACTGCAGCCATCCCCTTTTCCCTCCCATGTTTCATTCCATCAGTGCAGTGATGATCTTTGCCCTAAACGCTGAGTCTGAGTCCTGTATTGTTAAAAGCATGAAAAGTCTGGAATTATATAAATATCACATGGTAGTTTGCATTTACAGCTGGAGTGTGTTTGCCTGGACCACTGACCAGCTCAGTTAAGTTGGAATTCATTGTGAGTTCAGGAATAAGCCTGGGAATGTGGCACAGAGAGTGACAACGCTCCAAACTTGTTCCCTCTCCTGACCTGCTGCAGTCCTCACCTGAGTGCCAGGAAGTTCCCTGGGGGGTTGCACTGCTTCCAAGAGCAAGTGGCCTGACAGGGGATCCTGAAATCCCCAGGCTGAATCCATTAGAACAAATCCAATTAGAACAAGTGCATTACCCAGGGGCTTTAGGTGTGTTTGTTACTGCAGGTGGAATTTTATGGTTCTTAGCAGGGAAGCTGCAGTGTTTGTGATAAGGTTGCAGACTAAAGTACATTTAATTCAGAGACTTTTATACAGTACATTAAGTTGTTCTTCTACTTTAAAAACCTTGTTTTGTACATTTTACCCTACATTTAATTTTTTTGTTCTATCTTCTGGATCTTTGGTGCAGGGAATGCTGGCTAAGAGATGCTCTGGGGAAGGTCTGCTGGGTACATGCTAATAAAAGGCCCAACACAATCAGAAAATCCAGATTCTGAACAGGAAGAGAAATAACTCCCATTTTCTTTTAAAACAAAGCTCCCTTTGCATATTCTTCTCCCACATCCAGCATGTAAGAATAAAATGTACAGATTCAAGACTCAGGAGACTGTTTTTAGCAGGCAATGGAAATAAATAGATGGAAAACTGACCTTGTCAAATGTTTGCTGGATGCATGTACCTCCATTTCATTGCTTTTGTACTCATTCAGCTCTTTCCGAATCGCTGCCTGGGGATTGAAAATAGAAAAACAAATAATTACATATGAAAAATCACTGTGTATTCGTGAGCATTGCAAAATGCCAGACTTTCAGAACAGTTTTCTGTAGTAGAAATAGCAGGTACTGGGTACAGCAGAGCCCACTGTGCTGGCAGAGACACAGAATATTTAGGCTGTATGGATTGGTGACACAACCCTCCTCATTCATCATTGATTGCTGACAGGGCCACTGCTGTCTACAAGCACTTCTGACAGAATAACACCCCGGGGCTTACTGTCTCACATTTAATAAGATTGCAGTTCAAATTTATTAAAGATTAACAGAAGTTGCCAAGCAATTGATCCTTTTCCAGTCCAGCTCCTGCCCCCGACTCCCTGATGGGAGCCACCAGCACATGCAGCTCAGCTGTCCCCTTCTTTTTGCTCATGAACCTGCCTTGTTAACCATGATTGAAACTGGGAAAAGCCTAATTTTAATAAAAGTTGAGTACCTATGAGGAAAATAGAAAATCATTATTTATTGATTACTATAGAGTAGTTGATTCACCGTTTTGCTCAGGAGAACAGCTGCTGCAGGACAAATGCTCTGTTCCTTTCCCTTATGAGTCCTCTGCACCCATTTGGGTGTTTTACTGAAGTGTTTGATCTCCACATCTCAGAACAAAGCCATAAGTGAGAGTCCTGTGTTTGTTATTTTGTCAGCAAATCCCAGCACCCTGCTCCTCCTACTTCCTGCAGCCCTGAAACCTCCCAGCTTATCCAGCAGCAGTTCCAGCTGGAATTGTGCTGGGCTGCTCTTGCTACTCAAAGACCTAAATGTGACAGTTCAGTTGGGATGGAAATCAGTGAGTGGCAGGTATGTGACACAAACTGAGTGTTTATGCTCCTGAGAATGCAGATCAAGTGACTCCTTGAGCATTCATAGGAAAGAGGAGAGGAAATCTTTGCATGTTTAGAAACACAGCGGAGGATATTTCAATGTCTGGGACAAAACTTCCAGTCTGAGAAGAAATGTTAATGTTAAATTGGCTGGAAATGGTTTTGAGTTGGAGCCCAATGACTGCATCCACTTTTTGGGGTGGGCTGGGTAGAAGCCCTTCCAGCACTAAATAGGCATTTTTATAAACACCTTTCTTCCTGACAGGATGCATTGATCAGTGTGATCTCAGCATAGAAACTAATGGTAAACTGTACAGAAGTTAAATGTCTTTGCAGAATGTGATGTATCATTGCAGACAAAGCAAGGGGAAAGCAGCTGTGTGGGATTTTAGCTCTGGCAGTACCTTGTCTGCTGCTGAGAGTCGTGTCCATGGTTTGTCTGCTCTCCTGTCGTAGTCCTGTGCCTTTGCCACCTCCACATAATCACTGAATCGAATCAGGATTTTTCTGTCTCTCAGTTCATCCACTGTAGGTCTCTGGTTAAGCTGTATTCAGTAGTTTTGAAAAATAAAACCGGGGTTAATCACAAAGGTATCAGTAAAATATGCAATTTTTCTGCTTCTTAGCTTAGTGTAGGGAAAACCACCCAGGCCTTGGAAATTTCAGGGAATATTAATCATTTGGGGGACTGTTAGCAGAGCAATAATGGCTTCAATGGGCTGCAGCACAGTGCCTTTAGAGAGGACAAAAGAAGAAAATATTTTAACCTGGCTACTGATCAAATGCACTTGCAAAATGTAAGGCAATGCTGGTGGATTTGTCATGCTCTCTGGATGACACTGGATGCTCTTGGGGTGTTCCACAGGCAGAGAGGCAGATTGTCTGTGGGAGATTCTCCTGGCTGGACCCACTGTAAGAATTTCAGTTTGGCTTTAGCAAGTTCTCGGCGTATTTAGTTTGTAATTCCCACAGGGATTCCCAGGAACAGAACAACAAGAACTAGTTCTGGTTCTGGGAATACTTTAAATGCAAAGAGGAATGTTCCACTGGAGCACACCTGGGGCTCAGCAGGGACTCAGCTCTGGCAGCTACTGCTCCAAAGAATGAAAGAGTGCTTTTCTAGGCAATATAATTGACAAATACACAGTGTGCAAGCAAATACCCATTTTCTGACTTACAGTTTATATGTAAGTATTCTATTAAGTCTCATGGAGCCGAGAAAAGGTAGGGATTTTTATAATTCCTGTTACTAAACACTATGAGACACTGCTGAGGAGGTTGTATATTAAGGGAGGTTCTGTGTAATAATGACCTCTATGACTGGTTGATGTTACAGTAGCTTTGCTAATTTCTAAGATTTCTATTAGTTAATTTCTAAAAGCTAATAGGAGGTATGGTGAGTTTTTACCTTTCTTGTCAGTCTCTGTTTGATTTCCCTTCTTTCTTCCTGCTCCGTCTGATCATTTCGTTCTGCGGAGAATATAAAGAAAAAGATGACTTTCCTCATGAGGGAGTTTGGTGTTTTCCCAAGTTCCAGGCAATAATGAGCACAGAGAAACGAGGAGCTGGTTCTTGGTTGTGTTGAGTCAGTACACCTCTGTGTTGTGCATCAGAGCATGGAGTTACCTCTCTGGGAGGACAAGGCACTGCTTCCAGTGGCAGGTTCCCTGTGCTCTGAACTCCAGCTCCAAGCAGATTTAATAAAACAACAGCCACACCGACTCTCCACTTGTAGAAACTTGAGAAGGAAAATCAGAACATCCCATAGCTGGTTAATGATCATGTTTTACTCTCCATATGGCTGGAGCCATTCAGTGCTCTTGGGTGCTGAGGAGCCTTATTGCAGCAGCTCCAGGGAAAGTGTGTCCTGTCCTCTCTCCTGGTTTTTTCAGGCTACATGCTGGCAGTGCTGCAGTGCTGGGCTGGGACCTGCACGTTCTGCCTTCCCTGCTCCTCCTGCCACGAGAAGCTCTCTCTCCTCCCGGGGGGTTCCTCTGCAGTGCTCTGTCCCACCCCGGGCCAGCCTGGCTTTGTGTGTTGTGCCTATTAACATGCAAGCCGTGAGAACTCCTCCACACTGACTCTAAAAATAGCCTGGAGTGCTGTAACGCTGCTGAAATCCATCCCCTGCCTTAGGAAACAAGTTAATGGCGTTTCTATTTCCAGTACTATCTGTTACTAAATTAGGAGTGAGCCCATGACCTGAACAAAGCTGCAGAGAAAGGTTTAACCATTGTGGGAATCTCCAGATACTCCTGTGAAGTTTATTACACCACTTGCATTAGATATTTCCAGTGTTAAACACACATGTGATTTCTAATGTGCCTCAAAAAAACCCCCAGCGCTGCAGATGAGTTTCCAAAAAGCTATTTTTAATAAGGAAGTGTTCTCCCTGGTTTTTATGCTCATTAGACTCCGCTGAAATGCAATCATAAGTATCTATTTAAAGAACGTAGTAGTGCAGAGCTACAACTGGCTGTAGTAGAAATGTAAATCAAAGAATTTGAAATGCTGTAATGTGCTTTATTACAGTTCAGTGGCAAGGCACAAAATGGAAAGAGAACAGGTCAGCTAAAATTAGTGCTGTGTCAGGGATGAGCAGCTATTTCAGTGGGGAATGTTTAAAAAGAGAAAGGGCTTTAAAAAGCAGAGGGTATTCTTAGATGTAGAGATACCTGCAAGAGGTTATTCACTCAGCTTTAATTCACCTCTTTTAGAGAGGATATTTCTCTATATATATTTTTATAGAAAAAAAGAGAATTTTCTGTAGCATGGTGCCTTTCTAAGATGTGGTGTGATATGCAGTGACAGAATTGCCCAGAGCAGCTGTGGCTGCCCCTGGATCCCTGGAAGTGTTCAAGGCCAGTTTGGAAGGGGCTTGGAGCAATCTGGGATAGTGGGAGTTGTCCCTGCACATGGCAGGGCATGGACTGAGATGAACTTTAAGGTCCCTTCCAGCCCAAACCATTCTGTGATTCAGTGATTCTAAAGAAAAGCCAAAAATACACATTTCTGATGAAAAAATGCTTCTCCAAATGTACTCAACGTGTACTGACCTATTTCTATTTGACATTCACTTGTGTTCAGTGCTTATTCCCAGCTCCGAGAAATAAAAGAAATGGTCCTTTTACCAAAAAAAAAAAAAAAAAAAAAAAGAGGAAGATTTGATAGGAAATGCTGGCAAGGGCATTTTAGAACTCAGGCATTATTACTGAGACAATCCAGAGAGGCTTTTCCCATCCTCATCACTCTGCCCACACAGATCCATTCATTCTGAGGGCTGGGTTTGTAAGTCTCAGCAGAGATGCTCCCAATCCTGAGGGGGCCTGGGCAGTGCTGTAATTCATTCTGCTGCTCTGCCAGTTCTTCAGGGAACCCTCAGCTCTGCATGACACTAAAACAATTGCTTGAGCTAAGAATGAAATAGGAATTGTACAGAGGGGTTCAGGAGATGCCTCCTTGAATGTGAAATTCAGCCCTTTGTTGAGTATAGAGGACACATCTGACACCTGGGTTGTGATTTTAGTTCAAGATTTTCATGCTTGGTGGGAAACCAGCACTGTTTCTATAGATAGAGGACTTGGAAGATGAACAAAATTATAAGAAAGTGTTGGCTTTCAGTTTGCTTTTTATGTGTTGATCTCAGAAACATCCCCCTAAGGGAGATAAGAAATCACTTTTTGAAATCTTGCTGAGATTCGCTTTAAAATAACAGGAGTTGCACTTAGGCTTGTGCAATCTGCTTCTCCTTTTGCCAGAGTGCTACAAATGTGACTTACAAGTCTTTAAAAGAGCTCTGGGGGTAGCATTGCTCCTGTCAGCAGGATAAACCACAAACTTCCAAAGGGTTGAGAAACTTGGAGTTTAAACCTGTGCAACCCTTTGGAGCTGGTGGAGGTTGTGGTGATTTCACTGAAATCGCCTGCACTCTACAGCTTTGCACATCACACCAAATCCATGAGGGTTTTTATAAAATGCATAACATGAAGGCTACTAAAGTCGATTTTAAAAGCCATTTTAAAGTCCATAACAAAAATTTCTAATAAAAGGGGCCTTTCCCAATTTCTGAGTTCACTCAAAACCGAGAGCAGAGTTGTTGTCCCTGTCCAGCAGTTGAAGTTTACACCTGGCACAGCTCTGTGGTGACTGTAGCTCTTCACAGGATACTCATTTTTACATACATTTTTATATAAGGGCAGAGGTAAATAAAATGAAGTGGTTTTGATCTCAGCTGAACCTGTATAAAGCCTGAGCAACTCAAGAGAAGTCAATAAATTTGCTCCATGCTGGAAGCTCTTTAAATGAGATACAAATCTAGCCCAGTATGTTCAGCTGGAATTCAGGAACTATCTTTAATTCTGCTTTATCTTCTTTCTGCTTTATCTCTCTCTAAGCTCATTATATGAATGTATTCAAACTTTTTTATATATTGAAGCTGGTCAGTTTAACCCAGATTAAGGATGTAACCAGCACACTTCAAAAAAGTAAACACAAAGAAACAGATTTTTTCAGTAGAGATCAGCTCTTCTTTAGCCAGGAAAAAAAACTATAGTTCACATCATTCTAGGTTCTGTCTTTCAACACTAACTAGACCACGAAAATAAAAGAAGCAATAAACTTTTCCTTTAAGCAGATGGATTCCCTCTTTCTTATGTCTGAGACAATTTCAAATCTCCCTCTCACCTTCCCCTCGCTTAGAGGATTCCCAGGAAGGAAAGGGTTTATGTTCATCACTTGTTTGATCCCCTGCTCCGAACACCAACCTTTAGGACAAGAGTTGCGAGTTTTGCCTTGAGAATTTGAGAGATGCTGAGAACACTCCCCTGTGGCAGCACCTGTAACAGGCCTGGGACTGTCCCTCTAGTAACTCTGACATCTCAGAATGATCTTTGACTTGTCTTTGGGAAGAGCTCCAGTGGCATAACAACTGTATTTTAGGAGAACCACCCCTCTGTAAGGATGTTCCCCCTTCCACTGCAGCCTCCATGGTATCCAGTGTGTGGTTTGCCTTGACAATCCAAGTCTTGAGAAATGTCAGCCCCATTCTCATGGCACTGAGGGAATTGTATTCCCCTCTTGGATACCCACAACAGTGTAATCAGAATGAAAATTGGTTTTGAAAGCCTGAATCTGAACAGTTCTTTTCTGTCCTAAATTGCATGTCTTTGTGATAAATTAAAACTTTTAGATACAGGAAACAATCCCAGTGAATGAATTCATCTGTTTAAAAATGATATGTTCTGGAAATGCAATCACAGATTGCAACAAACACATAAAAAACAGTTTAGGAAAAAAAATACTCACGTTTAAGGATATTCCTTCTTTCCAGCTCCTCAACAGCGGGTCTTTGGCTGAGTCGCCTGCGGAAAAACACCAAAATCACATTTTGTACCATGCCTGCTCTTTGGAAAGTCTGCAAGATTCTGAGTCCTGGTTGGTGTTTTCCTCAGGAGGGGACTACAAGATCTCTCTCTAGGACTAGTAAGGGAGGTAAGAAAAAAAAAAATAAATCCTGACAGCAGAATTCTTTCTTGTATTATTTTTCCCAAATGCCAGCAATGCAGGTGAAAGTTCTCCTCTAGTTTGCTCTGCTGCCAGTGAAAGGGTTCCTCGGAACACGCATGCTTCCCATGCCACTTTCCAGACAGTCAGTTGGAACCAGTGGTCTCCAAGGGCAGAATTCACTCCCGAGGGGCTGTTTAAGGTGGTTCTCAAAGGAGTTTTATGGTGATCTTCTGTAGCTCTCCCTGCTCCTTTAATCACAGTTAGCAGCGGATTTCCTTTGCTCCAGTCACCAGTGGTGCACCCTGACAAAATGCAGACTGGCCAGAAACGAAGCTTTTCCAGCTCTGCTCTTCTCTGCTCTGCTCTGCCTGCTGGATGCAGCTCGTGTGCTGCTCGCAGCCTCACGCTATCTGAACAGAATGTCTTGGTTTCACCTCCCCTTTTCAGTAGTGCTGCCTCAGGATTGAGTCTTCAGATCATATGATCGGTGCCACGGCGATTTTATTCCGCATACTAAATGAGAGCCCCCCACGAGACACGGCTCATATTTGCAGAGGATCTCTCAGGTACAGGGACCCTCCCCTGGGCAGGCACACACACAGGCTGCATCTGCTGGCTTTGATGGAATGACCCAGCCAGCACACAGGGAAGAGTTTCGGGTGCTCCCCGGGCTGTGTTCTGGCAGCGTTAAGGATTCTCATCGCCTGCTCGCAGCAGATGTTGCCAAGCCGGGGATGAAGTTACAGAGACAAAGAAACACTCAGAGCAGGGACCACACTGCAAACTGCTGCAGCAGCTATTCCTCTGCTGGGCATGGGGAATGAATGAATGATTATAAAGTCATGCTGTAACAAGATCTACATCTTATCAAACACACAAGAGATGGAAAAACGAAGTAACTGTTAATAAGCCATAAAAGAACTGGTAAGAATACCCGATTCCAATTTCTCCTTGTTTTGTAAGCCTTACCCAATATACCTTTAAAATCAACTCTGTAGTCCTGCATTATCAGGCCAACAACTCCTTACCCTTTTTTAATTAATTTCCCTGAGATCACTGGAAAAACTCTCATCTTTGGCAACAGGAAGGTACCACAACTACTACACCAGATTCCCACAGAAAACTTAGATTACATGAGATCTTGTGCTTGGGAAACACCTACAGCCTAATTCGTTTTTCCTGTGTAACACTCTGTACCCCCTAAACTTTTTCTCCTGGCCTCTGGGTTCTGTTGAGTAATAAGCCTGATATTCCATCAGCAGAAGCTGCAATAATCCAAGCTGGAATGATGCTGAAATGCCCTACTAAAGAATTAAACATGTATTTTTTGGTTCCTGTTACCCTTGGACTCCTCCATCCTCACTCATCTGCCTGTACATCTCAGAAATGACACAACTCTGGCTAGGTTTTGTTTGAAACAGATTAAAGTGCATTTTATAATATAAATCAGGGAAGAATTGCTTACTCTGACAGCTTATCTGCAAATGAAAGGTCCACCCAACCTGTATTGATAAATACAAACTAAGTGCCCCTATTTCTGTGCATACCCTCAGCTTTACCCACAGCAGAAGGAAAAGGTGCAGACATGTTTACATGGGGGCATTACAGGTTTTTTCCTGATTTTTTCAGGGATATGGACCACACTTCCAAACTCTGTGTCAGAGTCACAAAACTTTGCTTCAAAATAAAATACTAATCAGGATTTCAGGAAACTGGGGATGGAGTGAAAACACCAAATAGAGCAAGAGTCGTGATCAAATGAGAAGTGGCAAAAACCCACTGACATTGTTGTTACCAAAGCACAGGGACATTTTGTGTCTGTGTTATTTTTTCTGTTGAGGAGAAGCCTCTCTCTGCCCAGACAAAACTTTCACTTCCGTTCTCAGCTGCTGTGGGGTGGCTGGGCTTGGGGTGAAGGGGAAATGAGGGAGTTGGTGAAGGTGAAGGACTCCAGATGCCCCACCAAGGGCTGGAATGGGAGGCCTTGACTGGTCCAGATGCCTTGACTGGTCATCCCTCAGAGTAAGAAACTAAGAAACAAGTGGCTGCTGTGGGTGTGAGCGAGCCTGTCCTGCCTGAACTGCTCTGAAAGTCTGGGAGGATGGATGAGGGGACTTCACCAGACATTATTAAAATCTAGGTTTGAGTATTTTAGTGCTGTCTGCTGAGACAGGAGTGCTCCCTCCGAGCAACTCTGCAGGGCCAGCCGTTGTTGGGGAGGTCTTGAAACTTTCTTGAAAGCTCTCAGGTAACTCACAGGCAAGTCCTACACTCCATCCAGATCCCCCACAGTGTCACTGGTATTGCCGTGGTCTCATGTTAAGAGTATCCAGTCCAGGAATTTGCTTCCTTGTTAGCCTAAAGCGAGGGATGCCAAGAGCAGCAGAAAGTGGAGCTGAACTGGCAGCTCCTCAGAGGCAACTGCAGCTGCCTCGGGGAAACTGGGCAGAACTGGAGGCACCAGTGTCACTGCTCTGTAATTGGTGTTTGGACACAGCTCAGAGTTTGCTGTACATGTGTCAGTGATGCTCCAAGTTTGGACAGACACCACAATCTGAATACTTCCTCATAATGCTGAAGCAGCCACGGTAAGCGTGTGGGGATAGAAGGGGAAGGGCACACACGTGCAGCTATTTCTTAAGTTCAGAAAGGTTACAAAGGTTCTGGGTTATTGTTGTCTTGTGCAAAGCAAGCAAAAACCTCCAAGCACCAGGTGTTCTTCAACTGTTTAGGCTTGGGGAGTGTTCTGGGTTTTCTCGAGTAATTTGAGGCCAGAAAGACAACTGGATAAATGCACATATTGCCATCTCAGACGCCAAAGACTTTCCTTGCTCCCACGTCCTCTCCACTGTTACTCCCGAGGGTGAGAGGAGCAGGTCAGTGCAGGTGTAGCTCAGTCACCTGCTGGGCCCCAAGAACACCCTGCAGGTACATCCACGTGCATTGTGGGGCTCACAGCACTTCAGGTGCTGTAAGTTTGCACATGGCCTCGGGGCGTTTGCTCTCCCAGGGCAATGTGCACATGGGAGCCCTGTGACGTTGGTGAGGGCTCCACGCTGGCTCTCCGAGGGGCAGGAAATCCAGAGTCTGGCTGTTCCCCGTGGTGAACATGTGTGGTGTGTAACTGTAGCAAAACAGGCTGCCCAGAGGGACAGCAGGAGAGCGCTGCCCTCCCAGCCCCGCGGGCAGGAGGTTTGATGGAGTGGAATGCAGCCCTTCATCGTGAGAGTCCAGCGTGAGGTCCTGCTCACAATCGTGTTTGACACGTGCTGGAACCAGAGTCAAAGGGAAAACCACAAACTGCTCGTCCCCTCTGGAGCAAGGTCACATGTCTGTGAGCCCAGTGTGAGCACATGTGCCTGGGACTGCTGATCAGTAGATCAATATTTACTTCACACAGCCAGATTGCCTCCTTCACATTTAAGGGAATGGCACCAGCGTTACACCAAGGTTGGATATTGGATTATTACAGGTGACTGAATCCTCGGTAGCCTGTGGATTTGCATGTATCAGGACCTGGGTCTGCTGTCAGATGGGCAGTGCATCAACATGTCCTACGAACAGGAGACACTGCCAAGTTCTCTGTCCTCAGAGTGACCCTCAGCAGTGTCTGCCTTGTCCATGTTGGAACTGCAACCCAGCAAAGCCACAGCAAGCTGTGGGCTTGCAGCCATGGACACAGAATAGCTGATGAGAAACAAATTTGGAACTGGTACAGCCCACCTGTGTGCATATGGGGGCTATGCTGACTTGCCACACCTTGGACAGTCCTTCTGTTCCAGCTCTTCTTACTGGTCTGCACTCCCCTGCCCACCAAACATTCAGTAGAATCCAATGAAAAGCAGCTCCGTTTCTTGGTTTGTGTGGTTTCTAGACTGTCCCTGAAATATGTTCCTCTGTCTCCCAAAAATATTTTAGCATAATATCTGTTGCACAGTATCTGGATATATGACTGCCACAAAACTGAATTTCTGTTCAGGTTTGTGGCTGAAGCCAAAAAGCATACTTTGGAATCCTGTTGCTGCTCCCAGTCAGATCCATGTGATTCCAATAATCTTCTCCAAAGGGAGCAGTGAACTGGTAGACTTGGACACGTGCATGTGCCTGTGGACTCTGGACTGACCAGTGAGCAATCAATCCAGCCACCAGTAAATGAGCTGTAGCCAGAGGCAATTGCATTGATTGTCTTTGTGTCAGGTGGTTTTGTGGCTGAGTTGGGAAGGGAGGTGGTGGGGAGGATCCCTCTCACAGGAGAGCTCCAGTCCAGGCAGAGGGAGGAGAAATGGGAGTGCCCTGTGCTTGCTTCTCATAAAGCTGCTTGTGTCTGCTGCCCATCAGGAGGCCAAGGCTCTGCCTCTCAAATTGGCATCTCTGTTAGCAGAACATCATGTTCGATTCATCAAGACAGTTTATTTTCATCCTTCCTATAAGTAGCTGTGAAGAGGCTGTGTGCCAGGGCTTTGAGTCACCCACACACTGCACTGTGGCACTGCAGAACTGCTGGCAATGTACAATTATGGGTAGTAGTAAACCCGTGGTGGGAGGGACTTCTCTTTTACTGTCTGTACAAAATTAGAAGGCAGACACTGAGACACAACTTGTTTTCACCCCAAGGTAATTCTGGAGCGCATTAAAAGTGCGAGCTCAGTGATGTGCCAGCATTTCCCATAACAGGAAAATCACAGAACAGTTTGAGTTGGAAGGGAACTTTAAAGGTTCATCTAGTTCAACCCTCCTGCAATGAATAGGGACATCTTCAAATAGATCAGGTTACTCAGAGCCCTGTCCAGCCTGATTTTGAATGTTTCCAGGGATGGGATATCCACCATCTCTCTCAGTAACTTGTTCCATTGTT